CCTCCTCCTCCTCCTCCTCCCGCTCCTCCTCCCGCTCCTCCTCCCACTCCTCCTCCTCCTACTATTACAACATCAACGACAGCTACAACGATATTCCCCATCCGACAAAATCCAAAATGATCATAAAGATCGTGTCTTTTTGAGCAGTGCGTATAATATGTGTCGCAACGCAGTGGAATCAGGCGCCCGTCAGGTTCTGGGCATAAGGAGCTATTGGTATCGCTTTATCTTTCTGTTGGTGACAAAATACCCGCATCTTAGATAGAAGTCGACGTTTCGGCGATTGAAGAAGGCGGGGATCGCCTGGTGAAATCGATAAAATTAGGGAGAAAATAGTCTCCAAAGTTGGGTAACTTCGAAAGTTTGACTGTCCCTGGAAACTGCAAATTTACTTTTTTGTATCTTTGATCTACATTTTTCAGTAGAATCCACACAGAGATGTATTTTTAAAAGGAGATAAAAGGGGCCGAGTCACAATGGTAGGAAAAATGCCAGATTCTTTGGTGTCATTATTCTGACGAGCGCCCGATTTTACCACAGTGCTACGGATATTTTGTAATTCCCACTCACCTTCGAATGTTTCATAGGATTAATATTGCAGAGTGTGATGGCTGGAAACGGTAAATCGTTGAATCCAAGAGTGACTTGTGAATGTTTGTTAAAGGAGAAATACGTCGTGAAGAGGCTGGAAAAACAAAATAAAAACCAATTGGAACAACTTTAGACTAAGTATAGAAGGCTGTCAGAGAGAGAGAGAGAGAGAGAGAGAGAGAGAGAGAGAGAGAGAGAGAGAGAGAGAGAGGGGGTGGGATGGGGGGAGAGAGAGAAAGACTCAACGATATGACTGTTAGACGATCATAATAAAATACTGATTGGAATACAGGCAGTTCCGTCTGTCTTGAAACTCCGACCCGTTCCCCGCCATCCCCTGATACAACCCCCACCCCAACAACAACCCACACCACCCTCCTGAAATCCTCCCCCCTTGTCCTCCCTATGTCAATGTCAAACTGTGACAGTCCCAAAAATGGCGATACGAACCCCGGGTGCCTCCATCATCAAGTGTCAGATCTGCGACAGACACCGGCCATCATGGTTCTCCATTCCTTCTTTTGCTCAGATGCTTGCTTTCAAAGAATCTACACTACCCTGATCTATCACCCCCTGCCTGTCACCCATCTCATTAAGTTCTCCAAGTAGAATGACGTAAGAAATGAGCGCCGGTTTTATTGGCTTTTTCCTTAGTTTATCTTTAGATGTGAATCATGATGAATCGTTAATTAAACTTTATTATGCGCGATGCTTCATTTTAAAAAATGCATGTATATTAGTTATACGTAACTAAGATTTTTACTAGAAGTTTCGAGCTATCAAGCTTCGGAAGAACAACTTTTTGTTCCAACTCACGCACTACGGGTATTTCTATAGCATTGTGCAGACGTGCTGATTGGTGATCAGTAGGGGTGCTTCGAAATGAGGGTTGTTGTTTTTTTTTGTTTTTTTTGTCTTGCTTTGTTTGGAGTCTTTTGTGTGTGTGTGTGTGTGTGTGGGAGGGGGGGGGGTATCAGCGATGTCCTTTGCTTAAAAGTAGCGCTGTAGAATCGAAATATAAATTACGTAAGATCTGTAAATATACGTTTAATTAAATGTATTTTTATATCTTGTTATACATGTATAATGTACATAGGACTTGACGAAAAATTGTAACCGTGGAAATGGATGCCTCCCTTACGTCAAAAGGGTTGAGTCTCCTATTTGTTGGAGAGCTGATCACTCCCCAACCACATATCCAGCCCCACCCACCCCCACACCCCCAGCCCCACCCACATCCACACCCCCAGCCCCACCCACATCCACACCCCCAGCCCCACCCACACCCACACCGTTCCCACCCTGCCTACTCCCTGCCCAAACTCTGAGCGCCACAATCCCTTTCTTTGAAGATATCTCGGCGACGGCTACAACCCCGACGTTTAAACCCAAACTCCCCCTCTACGAGCACGTACCTCTCTACTATCTCCTCAAACATAGTCCCGAAACAGAACAAAAAGGACTCCCCCCCCACCCCCCGCCCACCGGCCCCATTCTGCCCCCTGAAAAAAGAACCCCCCCCCCTCCTTTTTATTCCGAACCTGAAAAAAAAAACCGCCAGAGATTTCAGTCGCCTACCTTGGAATAAATCCCTTCTGGTCGCAATCATAATCGACGAGAGATGAACGATATTGTCGCCACGGCAACCGCTAAAGTTATCCAAAATCGGCTAAAATAAGCCGAGAAGATCAGTCTCTTGTTTACGCAGGCTGAGCCCAGATTTTGGCGGTCTTCTACCGCGCTGCTGTATCTTCGCCAAGGTAGAGATGCTCCTCGTGGCTCGTCCGTTGTTTGGACAATTAAGTGCGGAGGATTACGACGAAGACCGTGTCTGTCAGAAGACGCAGAAAGCCAACTCATAGATTGAGCGGTTTGATAGCGGCCGCTCTTGATGTTGCTCCTCCTGATAATGATAGCGTAAGGATGGGGCGATCTTCTTAGTATCGATATGCCGTGTTGGTTAGTGGCTTACTAACAATGTAAGGATGGGGCGATCTTCTTAGTATCGACATGCCGTGTTGGTTAGTGGCTTACTAACAATGTAAGGATGGGGCGATCTTGGTATCAGTATACCCTGTTGACTAGTGGCTTATCTGAAATTATTCGGATATAGCGGGTGTGAAATTGAAAGAGCTATGAGGTTGAATGATCCCGGTTTGGATAAATGGATTTAACTAAGTCGCCGCCGATAGTAGTTTTGATCGGTAGATTGAATATTAAAGGGAGCCCGATCTTAGAGTCGAGATGATGGACTACTACATGTATGTCATATCCTAATATGATGATGCGCTTTTTGGCGTCTTTCTTTCGTTGTTGCTTTCGTGTCTTTATTTTGTTGTTCTTGTTTGCTTGTTTTTGTCTGTTTTTGTCTGTTTTTGTTTTTTGTTTTTGTTTTCTTTTGCTTTGTTTCGTTAGTTTCTTCTTTTTCTTTTTCTTTTTCTTTTTCTTTTTCTTTTTCTTTTTCTTTTTCTTTTTCTT